AAAAAATACAAGTATAACAAATACAATAAAAACCAGCAAACAAACAAAAGTTATATCACACAAGATTTTTTACATTCTGTTTTTACTGTATTTTGATCAAATAAATGCAGCCTTGGTGAGCAGAAGAGACTTCTTTCAAAAACGTTTAAACAGTAATTTCACTTTAAAGCAGTTATCTACTATTTGTTAATACCTTGCAGCAAAGCTAATTATTTTTCAAAATGACAGCTTGACTGTACATTAACAACTTTAAATTATGAGTTTCAAATGAGCTTCACGACACTGTTGTAGAAAGTAGACCGCCTCCTCACCAAACTCATAGACCTGTTTGCACTTCACTTCCAGCTCCTCAATCAGCTCGCTGATCTTGCACTGTTTGGCCAAACGCTTGCAGTCCTCCACGTAATTCACATCTATATCCAAACGACCTGGAAAAAGACAGTACACACGGTGAAGAATAATACTGTCTGGCACCAGATTACTAACACCACCTACAAACTCTTGGTCTGATGCTCACCAGTGTAGAAATACTGCATGATTGCACCAAATGCAGCAGGATTGACCTGAAAAAGGACATTATAATTGACACATTAGGATCATGAGAGTTTGGAGCATGCTGAAGTAAAAGGTTATAAGAGAAAAGTATGTTCTGTCTAATTTAACACAACCCTGGGGAGAATATCATTAAAGCAACTCAAGAAGATTGTGAAAAAAACATGATGAACATAAAAAAAATCTATGCTTTCATTTTTCATTAATCCCTCCATGTTCTAGCTTGAACTAGTACTATTCTAAAGAAAACTTTGTATTATGAGCACTTCTTGTGTTTATTTATCTCTTTATAATGAATCGCTTTGGATAAAAGCATCTGCTACATGAATAAATGTAAATGTGACATTTAATTTTTAAGTTTAATCCGAAATGATAAAAAGGTGGCAGAACTTACTATTCCCAATTTTTATACTTCTATGAAAGTATGAAAAAGTATGCTCCGTTGACAATATAATTTGTATGGAAGCCCGTTTACACCACAGAATAAAAAAAACACAAAATGTAATCGAGACTTTTCTGAGTTTATATATCATATAGTGCCGTTGATTGATAAAAAAAAATTTATCACACATTTTTTCTGTGTTAATTGCGTTAAATATTTTTAATGCATTCATCTGAAAAAATTAATTGCATGTGTTAGCGCATTTAATTTTGACAGCACTAATCTCATATAATTCTTTATATCTCAGAATTATGAGATATAAATTCAGAATTGCAAGATATAAACTCACAATTCTAAGAAAAAAGTCTGAACTGTGAGATGTAAACTCGCATTCGTGCTCATAAAAATTTTTTTTTAATTGAGAGTTAAGTCACAATTACGGTTTTATTTTTCAT